TGCACTGATAGGTTTCACAGACTTCACCAGGGGTAAAAAAACCCCAAAACATTCTGAAGTAATTTTTGTCAGAAATTGTTACTAACACAAGAGTTAAGCTTCTTACAATACTTGAGTTGGTGAAATGAAAAGGATTGTATTTCATGAGAGACATAAGAGACTAAATTTGATGGCCCCTGTGTGTAGAGAATTAAAACGGGAGTTAGACATCTTTGAAAATCTCACTTCTTTAGGCACCTGTTTGCTTTGGGCAGTGGGCCCTAGACACACCCATGTTGGAAACAGGGTAAAAACTGCTAAGGTCTTTTTGGTGGTTTTCTTCTTAGCTGCTTTGAAGTGTTACCCTCAAGTTCAAAGAGAAACTGAGTTTACCAGTTTTGCATTTTGTCTGTAAAAAGATGAAATGGAACCTTCAGCTGCCCTGAAGAAACGCTATTATGGGTTGCTGAAAAACTTTGTAAGGGTCTGGATAGTAAGAGCAACAAGAAAAAAAATTATAATTCTGTACTTTTATAATCTAGTGCTGATTGCTTTTCGGTATAAAGTCTTTACCATAGAACCTGCATGCTTGTGAACTCAGTAATAGAAACTCAGGCCCTGCTCCTGCCCGCGTTGCTGGGCTGACAGCTCCAGATTGTCTCGTAACTTCATTTCATTTAATTGCATGGTAGGGGAGCTGCAGGTTGCCAGTATTGACCAGAGGAGGTCTCAGCAGGATGGACTGGCCCTGGTTGACAGGGGTAATGAGATGAGCATGTTGAGCCATCCTCCATCTCTGGCACCCATAGGGGTTTCTGTGAGGGATGGCGGGTTTGAAAGCTCCGTGTCAGCAGGGAGAAGAGGCCTGGGAGTTCTTGCACATCACCTGTCACACAGGCAGGGTTAGGCACACAGCCTGTCCCAGAAGGTCAGGGAGACTCCCCGAGGAAAATGGCAGTGACGGTGACAGGAGCTGAGTGATCCAGCTTGGTTTCTTCATCACTGCAGTGAGCTGCTTTTCACCCTCGCCTGACAGAGGCCTTTCTTTGCCCTTCCCCATGAAATGGTAGTAGATAGGTTCATGCCATGTCACCCAGGGCTTCAGAAGATCTGATGTCATTACCTCAAGAATGCTGCAGTCTGACTCATAATGTGGCAACTTGGAAGTTCCACTTTGGAAAAGTCAGTGGCAATAAACATGCTCCTGTAACACGCTCCAGCCCCACAGGCAGGCAGTTCTGGAGGCATGGTGAAGTTTTGCCACATGAATATATGAAAGCTGCCTGTGGTGGCTATGCTGGGGTTTCAAAACTCGTCTTCTCCGAGGACAGCCATGACATTTGGAAGATACTTCAAAGCCAGTTGACAGCTGTGGGATGGTAGCCAGGATGGGTAGCTGCAGCACAGAGCTAGCGATGCCTGCTTCTGTGCATTAAGCCAGCATTTCCACTCATGTTTCAGTTCCCTGGGGAAGCCAGCCAGGCTGGCTGGTGTGTTCCAGGTGCACCTGGTGCCGTTCCACCTTTGGTTTTAGTGATGGCTGGTGGGAGAAGGGAGGGGAGCTAGCAGTAAACTCTATTCTCTATGTCATTATATTTCTAATGTTGGTGTTCTTGTCTTTATGTCTATGCATTCTTTAGCTATGAGGATAACAGACCCTTCATCAAGTAAGAATGACCTGAATGGCTGATAAATTTCATTTATCAGTGTGGTCTCATGAACCAGCTGTCAGATCAATATTGAAAAATCATTAAAGCTTCTGTCATTCGCTTTTGAGGCAGAAGAGCAAACTGTGCAAGAAAATGGTCAGGCATACAGCTAAGGTGCAGAGTAAATGTGCTGCATGTGTATTGCCAACCAATTGTCACCTTATTTGCTTTGTATTCCTTAATTGGATGTTACTTGAATTCAAGGTGTAAGTTCCAAAGTTAATCCTGTGTGGTACAGACTTGTTTTACCAGCTGCAGCCTCTGGTCCACTGTGCTCTGTCTGGGATTGCTTTATGGTAGTATAAATACAGAAGCAAATTTTTGAAAAGGTGCATGGCTGCTGTACCCCATGATTCCCTTTCTAGTTAATGGGAGCAGTGCAAGCAAATCTGTGTGCATTGGAGACTCCTTACTCATTGAAGTACCTCCTAATTGTTCCTAATTGTAAACCACTGATTTTCAGATGTACCAAAAATCGGATATTTTTGTTTAATTGCAATAAAATTCCACAACAGGAAAGAAAAGCCAAGGAAAAGCAGTAGCAAGTCTGTACAAGGAGTAAGATAAAAACCTCAAGCTGCACCAAAAAACAAAAACCAACCCAAACCTGTAAAGAAAGCCAAAAATGCCTAGAAATTGCATACCTTAGGGCATCCACACTCTTTCTCCTGCAACCATAAAAATTAATGTGCAGTAGCACAAAATAGAAGCAAATCGACTTTGCAGTAGACTTTCAGTTTGTTCTTCTGGTGAAGAGTCCTTTGTGTGTTTGTTCCTTCAGCACCATTCCCATGTTCTCTTCCATCGCTTGGTTCTGTTTTTTTCTGTGGATGTGGGATGGAGCTATTCACAGTAACCTCCACGTCCTCCTTATCGCCGCCTCTTGTTTCCTGGGACACTGTTAATGCGTGCAGTTTGCACTGGTGGAGGTCTTCTAACCCACAGATTCCTTTCCATCACTGAAGGTAGCATTTCTTCACTACATAACTGTTTCATTCCTGCACAGCTCTGCAGCCAAAGGCTCTTCAGTCAGATTCAAGAATGGGCTGTGCTTCAGAGCAGAATATTTTTCTGATATCCAGGGAATAATTTTTAAAATACTCTGGAAGTGCAGGAAGCTTTTATCTGGGGATGAGAAAAGAGGAAAGAGAAAAAAAAAAAAAAGGGGGGGGGAGGTCCACTTAATTTGCTCTTCTTTTTTTTGGTGAAAAAGAAAATTATTTGTGTTTTATTAATTGCTATGCAACTGGGACAATAGCATGCTCTCACTGATGGTGGAATCTTGGGGAGAAAAGTATTCCAAGTGACTAAGCTGTAAACTTTATCTAGTGGCTATCTTTCTGAAGGATTGTGAGAGTGTATTTTCAGTTTTCAACACGCTAAATATTTATTAGTAGGATTGACTGGAAATGCTTCAAAGGAGCTGTTCTGGTCTGCTAGGTACATAATAGTGATTTTTAAAGAACTGTCTTGATAAGTGGTTACCTTAGGGAGCTCTTCTGGTCACGTGGTTAAATAATACATATTTTATAAACTTCAGTGGAAGACTTAATGCTGCATTTTCATTCTAATACCTGAAGAAAAAAAAAATAAACAACAAAAGACTTGAATACAACATTGATATGCTTTTGTTTGTGACAAGGCCTGCTAAAAGGAAAATGATTCTAAGGCTGTAGCTGCCATGGCATCTCCATAGCAGAGATTGTCTGTCTGACCTCTGCAGGACTGCTTTGTCCCCCCAAGTTGCTGCTGCTTCATCTTTCTCCCCCTTGCCCCATGCTCTGCTTAGCAGATGGAAGCCCAAACCCAGGCCACATTCCCACAGGGCTGAAAGGGCTTGGAAACGTAGGCAGGTCTTTGTTCCTGTGAGCCCTTCTGCAGCACCTCAGGGGGCCTTGGGGCAGACAAGGGAACAGAGGTGCGGGCTCACTGCAGTCTTGTCTGATTTGGGATACAGAAGGGCTAAACAGTGAGGAAGGGGTGCAAAGGTTGGATATCAATGCATTCATTTTTATGATGTTACACCTAATGATAACAGGGGACAGCAGAAGAAAACCAAAGCCTTTAGGTAAAGGACAAACAGATATTCAAGGTGCTTCTTGCTTCCCAGCTGGAAGTTTGCTCCCTCCCCTGTGCAGCAGCAATTCCTTTAAAGTTGTAGGGAGTACATCATGTGAAGACTAGGCTAGGAGCAGTACAGAATTCCTGTGCTGCTTCTCATATTTCATCTCTTGTCCTCGTATTTGAAGATCAGTCTTTGAGAAGGTAATTTAGGAGATGACTAAATGTTATTTAGCAGGAAAACATGGAATACTCCTCTTGCCATCCCAGCAGAGCTTCCAGCTTTCCTGAAACACCCAAAAAACCTAACATGCAGCAGTCACCCCATGTCCCGAGATCTGTTTTCCGGGCAGAAAGTCAGTGGGAGAAAGCAGGCAAAAACCTGCTCTCCCTATTTCTTGGAACAGCATTAGAAATCAAGAAGTGGCTACACCTCTACTCCCACTGCCCTCCTGAGGTAGAGCAAGTGATAATCTTAGTTTTGCAGCCCATGTGAAGAAGGATTGCCCCTCCTTTTCTCCTGGCAGAAGTGTGGCAGCAGCTACCGCTTTAGCAAATGTAGTGTGTGAGTGCCTGTACGAGTATACACAGTTCCCTTCGTCGCAGGGTGGAAGAAGTGTGAAGCAGCACTGCAAGGAAGATCCTTGTGTGGAGTGGATCTGGCAAGCAGGGAAGGCTTGCCCACCTGCCTGTAGCTGTTTATCTGGCTTACACACATATGGGAGACTAGCTAAAATGCAGCAATACATGTGTCTTGGTGTTAAGTGTAAATAAAGAAGCTAATCCAGCTGGCAGTCCTGTGAAACCAGCGGACACTTAAAAAAGTGACAATCAGAGTTGTCATTTCATTTGGTTTATTTTCTTTTCCTCCATTTGTAGAAATAACATCTACATGTCATTTACATGCACACTGCTTTTATGTATTTAAAAAAGAAAAGAGACATTGTGGTTACAAATGTTGCTTTGGTTATGATAAATTTCTATGCTCATAACACTTCCATTTCCTTGTATTTCCTCAAGCTTGAAGATTTGTAAACTGCATTCAGCTTGAAGACAAAAGCTCCCTATGATTTATTTTGATGTGCTATTTTCTTTTCTTGCTAAAACCAGGGGCAAAAAAAAAATCTTCCTGCCTGTAGACACATGCCTTCTTTTGTGTAGATGAAAAACCAATCTTGTTCTTTTCTTCTTTTTTTCTTTTCTTTCTTTTTGTTTTTTTTCTTTTTTTTTTTTTTTTGTTTCTCCTAACAGGTCCTGGGTTATAGGTGCAATAGCCCTACTCTGCCTATTAGGACTGACCTGGGCATTCGGACTCATGTATATTAATGAAAGCACAGTCATCATGGCGTATCTCTTCACCATATTCAATTCTCTGCAGGGAATGTTTATATTCATTTTCCATTGTGTCCTCCAGAAAAAGGTAAGACGGACAGTTCCCAGCAGCAAGAGAGGTGGTAACGAGGTGTTTTGTTGCCTAACAACCCCATCGTAGCATCATCTGTGTGCCCTGAACCCGTATCACACAGATTTATCTCTGTGCACCTAATAAGGCTGGTATTTAGACTGGAAACCAGCGAGATGCTGGGGAATGAGGTTCTAACAAGGACATGAGGCAGTGGCATTTCAGCAGCCCTGCCAGATGTGTCAGAGGCAAGGGAAAAAGCAGCTGTCAGTTTTCAGGGCCCTGTAACAGGGCTTTGCCTGCTGTCAGCCAGATTCTCCTTCCTTGTACGCCAGTGTGAGATGGGAGAGAATCCACAAGCATCCAGAAAGTGCTCCCGTGGCTGAGTGCTCACAGCAAAGTGGAGCTTTACATCCTCATTTGCAGTCCCTGCAGGTAATCGCCCCTTCGGGTGGCAGCATATGTGGGTTGATGGGATGTAATAGGGGCTGCTTCCCCTGCTTTTTTAAGAACTGAAAGACCTGTGCTCTGCAGCGGTTCATTAGCCTTTGTATTGCTTGGGTTTGATACAGTGTTTTGGAAATCTTCCTCAAAGCAAGCACAGCAAGTGCTTCTTGGTGGAAATTGAAGTATGTCCCAGTTAACATTTGCAGGATAACAGTGGAGTAACTTAGATAAACTCTTGAGAGGGAAAAAAAAAATCCCCAACAGAATAAAAATTCTATGTTTATGTAGATCAAATTTACAGCCTCTGACAATCAGTAATAAGTATTTTTAAGAACATTTTTGTTCTCTGCTTAAATTCAGTAGTACAGAGCCCTCCAGTTCTGTGCATGCTGATGATTTGCTATGTCCGTTTTAGTTTCAAAGGGCAGTTTACTGAACCAATATAAACATAGGGAAGAGTTTATGTAGATACACTGGTCCCAGTTTCTCAGGGTAACCAGTATCTTGTGGTGAAATGGCTTCTTGGGTAATGTCAGGTCCATCTTGAGATCAGTCCTCCATCTGAGAGCCACAGGCTTGCTCCTCTGTTACTCACATTTTCCTATACAGGCAAGGGAGATCTGGCCCATGAAAACATAATCAAAATTCATCATAAAAAATGTGCTCTGCAAGTGGTGCCTCTGGAAGGATCTGCAGAGCTGTGAGTAAATGTCATTCTTGAAACCAAAAGAAGACTTTTGGGGTTAAGAGTTTTGTCCTTGTTGTTGCATCTCAAATTTGTCCATCAAAAGAAGCTTAAAAGCTTTATCTAGATGCAACCTCCTGCTGATGATCCCAAGCCTTTCAGCAAGAGAGTTTCCAGGAAAGATGATAGTAAGAGTGTAGGAAGCATCACCATTGCTTATTAAATCTGCAGGTGCCTCTCTGTGAGGAGTTTGAATTTCTGCACCATTCTGACTGGTACATCCTCTCACCCCCAGGGCACCCTGCAAAGGGTCAGTCCCTCACCCAGCATCCCTGCACCGCTCCACAGCCTCCTTGGCTCCTGGGGTTCTCAGTCAGCATGACAGAACCATTCTCTTTTCTGTCCTAAGCCAATTTACACCCTTAAACCACCACTGATGACTGTGGAATTGTTCCTGATTTACTGATTTACCACGGATTTACCACTGCAAAGTACCTTGCTGTGGGGTGGATGGATCTCTCTGACCTAAGAGCTGAGGGAGGTATTATTTAAAAGGAGAAAAAAAATTCTTTCCTTTCCTATCTATCATGGCCTAGAAAATCGGCAGAACGCTGCAGAGAGGCAAGCAGTGGGTGGCTAATTAAAGCAATTGAATTATTTTCTCTCAGCAAAGGATTGATTAGGCACTCGGGCATATTGGGCACTTGTGGTATGTGTTTGTCTCAAGCGCTTAAGGAAGAGCCTAATGAAAAAGCTGTAATTTTCTATTTAAATAGTTGTTTCACAGAGTTGTGAAATGCTCACGGAGGGTTTGGCAAAATTTTAAAGCTAACCATGTGCTTCAAGGAATTTCAACTGGTGTTCTGGACATGCATGATGGTTTGGGGGCTTTTTTGTGTCAGCGGGTAACATGACCCTCTTTTGGCTCTTCAGTACAGCCTGCTCACCTTCAGCCCTGTCCCATCTGGTTTCTGGGTATTGCTGCCCATAAAAAGTCACACCTGTAGCTTGGTGGAAGGTTACGTCCTGTTCTGGCATTAGCCAGCGTAGTTCCTCTGAAGCAAAGGAGTTGGCACGGGTTTGACTTCAATGCCCATTTAAAACATGACTGGCTTGCACAGTGCTGTGGAAAAGCAGGCTCCAGCCATCCCCTGAGCATTGGGAATATAATCTCTAATGCTGCTGGTTCTGCTGTTTCCTCAAATTTCAATTTGACTGCAAGAAACATTTTTTTTATAAAAAAATCAATAGCTTTCATACATTTCTCTTGGAATTCTTTTTCCTTAGTCCCCTGCCAGAAGCAATAACTTCTAGTACCTTGATGAGCCAATATGCTAGTTTATATCAAATCTACAACGATATTAATTTTCAGTCATAAATAGTGTACCTGCACTTTCTGCCACGCTCCTTTGATGTGCCTCAGAGGATGCCATAACTGGCTGGTGCCAACCAGCAGCTTTGCCTCAGGGGAGCAGTCTCTTGTGACATCCTGAGCCACCAGCTCAGCTGCAAGGGGTACTGGACTGCACACACTGCAGCAGATTCTGTTTTAACGAAGCACTGAGGAAAAACCAGGGGCTGTGTTGAAAATCAGAAGGCAGTGAGCTGGAGGAGGAGCTGCCTGCTAACCACCAGCTCTCTTTCCTTGACTAGGTACGTAAGGAGTACGGAAAATGCCTGCGCACACATTGCTGTAGTGGGAAAAGTACAGAGAGTTCTATCGGCTCAGGAAAAACCTCGGGGTCAAGGACACCTGGAAGATACTCCACAGGCTCACAGGTAACCCATGCTCTTTGTTTGTGTCCCAGTGCCATGCCAAGACCCTTCTCAGCTGTTTCAGGAGGAAAGCTCCTCTCAGCACCAAAGGAGCTGCCTTAGGCCTCTCCCCAGTGCACCTGCAGAGATTCCCCTCACTTCCACACCTGAACTCAACACAGTGGCTTCCCCTGAGATATGATGGCAATTAAAAGCCTTTCCAAGAACCTTCTAAATAGTTCTGTTGGGAATAGAAAGTCCAAATTTGCCTTCCAGAGGCAAGGTGTGGTTATCACCTGAGGTGTCCTGCCTGCTCTCCATGGGAAGCAGGAGGTGGGAGCATTTGTCAGCTGTGCTACATTCCAGTATACACCTTTAATCGTGAGATGAAGGTTGTCACTATCAACTATTAACATGTGCAAGACTGATGCTATAAGCACCAAGTGTTTTTCTTGTAAAAGAAAATTAAAGGCTGCAAGTGTCTTGTAGCAGCCTTCCCAGTGAAAGAGCTTGCTACCTGACATTCAGTGGTTTGGTCTGTTCTGTGCCTCGCACAATTTGTCTTAGCTTATAGACCTCTTAGAGCAAGCCATTGGGGTCAGGCTGTCTTGCTAAGGTACTAGATTTGTTGCCTTTGGTCACCTGAAAATTCAGGATTTGTGTTGTTTGCGCACTTTGAAGATAACTTGTGTGTAGAGATGCAGATTTATGGATGAAAAGTTCGTATAGAATGAAGAAGCTTATTTCTTAATCAATAGAAACCAAACACAAATTTATTCAGTATTAGTAATGGAAGTAATTATTCATGACAGTTCCACTATTAAATTTTAAAAAACATGCAGTGAGTAACAGCTTATAACTTTCCAGGAAAACCTAATTTGCAATTTATGTCTTGGAGCAAATAATTATTTATTTGCAGTGGTTTCCAAGATGTCATCCAAAAGCTCCACTTTGGTGTTTTCATAGCTCTGGTAGCTATGCAGAGCAAATAAAAGCAATAGAATGTAGAATCTCTCTCCAGTAGGCCATCGAATCCCAATAATGTCCAAAACTCACAATATCCAGCAGCATTTAGGTGGCTGACTTGAAAGCCTCTGGTTATACATAACTTTGCTGCTGTGCTGGTGCCCTCCTCTCCAGAAAGAGTTGACTTCAGTGGTCCCCTGCCCCCACCAGTCCCAGCATAAGAGAACAAGCCCTTTTGAAGGTGAGCTGAGTCTTCTGGCAGAAGTCCTCTTGTGGCAGGTGAGGTTTGAGGCACCAAGGAAGATTATTTTGCCTGCAGAAGGGTGTCCTTTGAAGGATGGAAGTTCCTAAGGCCTATTGTAGCCAGGAGAAACCTCATAGAGGTGATGGAGAGTAGATGGAGATCAATCTGAGTTGCTGAAAACATCTGTCTCCTAACGCTAAATAGAGAAGACCATGAGGAGGAAAGCTTCTAAGATCCCTTTATTCTCTGGGAAGCACATAGGAAACAGAATAATTAAACTACAACGGATCATACCAGAGAAATACAATAAATTAAATGTCCAGGTGAAAAATAATTACTGTAAAAGGGCATGGGCCTCATGCCACATGGTACTTTCATTTATAGAGCCTAGTGCATGATTAAGAGATGCTGTTATTCCATGGTCAGTGAGTAATCTAGGACTTTCCAGCCTGGGACCGTATGATTAAGCCTTGGTAGATCTCTCACGGCTAAAATCCCACTATGGGAACCACTGGATTTTTGGCACTTAACCTTTTTCCCACTGTGGTGTGTCACAGTGGGAAAAAGGCTTCCCAGACTCCCAGACCACCTAGCATCACTTTCACACAGCCAGGGAAAACGTCCACTAGAGTCACAGACGTGAGGTGAGGGAGAGTTTCCCTGGGACACCTGGGTTCTCCAGTCCAGTCAAGCAGGGATTGGGATTGAACTGCTCACAAGATGAATTTTGGCTGATTTTTTGGTATTTTGCAAGGTCTAGTTGGGGAGGAGTGAGACAGTGATGTAAATGCCACAGAGGCGGATACTTCACAGCATATTTGAGGAACAAAACAGAAGGCCAACACATTCAGGACATTTTTGCCAGTAGCAGAAGCTATACCACAGATGGCAAACCCATCACAGATTTTTCAGTATGGGAACAGAAGTCATTCATTTGTGGGAATTTTTTTTGCCCCCCTAAAATCCCCAAGATGGAAAATAGCTATAGAAAACTTCTGTTGGTGAAGGGACAGCAAGATACAAATCAAGTCTTCTGTTACACTTCACAAAAAATAAGAAACAAGTTGTCTGAGTATGAGAAGCCCATGTGCTTCTGTGTGGGGGTTATTTTTCCATTATTTGGTTCTGTATTGGTAAACCTGTAGCTGGCATGGGGTCTGGGTTTCTCTCATGCATGATTTTTTTTTTCTTTTATTTAAGATGTAAGGCATTCAATTATACACTTTTTCTTTGAGCTAGGCATTTGTGTTTCAAAGGAAGTCTGGCAGGGTCTGGCATGCATGAGGCAGGTTACAAAAAAACAGCAACTGCTTGCTTACAGCTGGCTAGAAACAAGTCTCATCTGAGCTAGACATGCCAGTAGCCATCTTTAGTGAGGCAGAAAGAAACCCCTCTACAGCTGCTAAAAATTCATTGCCTGCTGTGCTTCAATCCCTCTTCAGAGCCGGATTCGTAGGATGTGGAATGACACGGTTCGAAAGCAGTCCGAGTCTTCCTTTATCACTGGAGATATAAACAGTTCAGCTTCACTCAACAGAGGTAATTATAAACTATTTTTCATCTCACTAACTCTTCTGATGGCTTTAAGGAGTCTGACATGTGTTGCCTCTTTGCCCCCTGCCTTTTCCTCCTCACCCCAAGCGTCACTGTACCCTGTTCTACCACCCAAGAAATGTTACAGTGATAAATGGGAGGAGGTTTTATGGTGGTTGTTGCCTTCTTTTTCTTTTCTTTATTTCTACACGTGCATTTTCAAAAATTGTTGTTTCTGGAAGGAAGCTAGGAAAAGTGAAAGAGAGAAATGAAATTAAGTTGAAATCTGCCCTTTCCCTCAGAAAACTGCTAGTGCCAGAAGCTGCTGATGTGTCAGGCCTTGTTGCTGACAGTGAAAATGGGACATTCCAGCACTGTAAAGCCTGTGTTAAGCATCACAGGAATCCTGATTGTCCTGATTGTCCTGAAATACTTTCGTCTTTACAGAAGCAAAAGTGAACAGCAGAACGTAGACGTAAGGAATAACTGTGCTTGGATCAAAATTGTCTGTGTTGGTGTTAATATACCTAGTTTGAAGAACTGACTGATGTGAACTTTATAGACATCTGTGGAGGAAAGGCTATCAGAAATGTATATGCCAAATAAAATGTGGTGTCTGGCACAAGAGGAAATATGAACAGCTTTTTTACACCAAGTGTTTTTCAGGGAAGTGTAGGAAAGCAGTGGTAACAGAATACCAGAAAAAGAGCCTCAGAGATTGTTTCCTTTCTCTTCCAATACAGCTACTTGAGCAACCAGATGCCAAACTGTTTTGTGTTACCTGTCCAGCTGATGCTGAAATTAAGAAAGGGTGGGATTGAGATTACTGGGCCTAGGTGTTGTCTCATGATGATGATGAAAATCAAGCATACTTCCAGTCCTGATGGTTGGTCTGCAAAGCTCAACTGAGAATTGAATTAGGGCTTTGGTTCCTATTCAGTCTTTATTCTCACAGAATTTCCACTGATTTTAGGGTGAGTTTTGCCTGAGGATAGGCTTGAAGGATTTTGTCTATGCTGAGTAATATTGACTGCTGAGTTCTGGGGGAACTAGGGGTATATGATTCTGTTCTCTGAACATGATACACACTGCCCAAATCTGTGCAGAGGGGAAGGCAGTATTACATGGAGCTGTACTGTTCTTCAACTCACTGGTCTTTTTTGTGCCAGGATATTTTCCCTTTGCACTGAAGACTCATTAATAAAGTTGACTATAAGATTCCATTACTGCAAATGCCTGATTTCTCCACATACATTGCCCTCAAATCTCTCTCTGTCTCTGCATTAAAGACTGCAGAGCAGCAGCCAGGCTTCTCTGGGTCTAATGTAGGGGGGAAGTTGGTTGTCACACAGAGGTTCCAGCAAGAGCCACTGTTTCCCTCAGCCATCTCACTGCTCCATCTCAGTGGCAAACCAAAATGTGTTACGCATGAAATGTTTGCTCCTTTAGTTAGCACAGAAGTTGAACTTGTTCCCTGATGCAGCTGAGGTTACCAAGGGATGTGTTTTAGCAAACAGGATCTTCCAGGTTTCTTAGCAAAAGAAAGGTGTTCTTTTTCAGTTGTGTATTTTTTTTCCTGTACAAAGAGGGAAGTATGACTGTCAGCTGGGACAAGTGAAGAGGCTTCAAGTGGGCAATCTTCATCCCAGTGTGGTGAGAACCTGCTACTAGATGTGCCTCTGATTTAAAGGTCATTTGGGAAATGAACTGCCAGGAGAAGCACCTTCAAAGCAGGTTTCATCCAGCTATTTTCCTTGTGTAACACTGGATGAGGTGAATCACCTGAAGGGCTTGAATCTCTCTGTTGACTACAGAAGCAGCCTGACTAGTGTCTTAGAAGGGAAGCCTTTTAGGTGGAACACTGAAGTGACTTGAGTAAGTTTTACAGTTCTACAGGCATCCTCCCTCATTTTCACACAAGCAGGCACAATATTTGTTGTTGCTGGGTTTTGGGGTTTTTTTCCTGGTAAACAGAAGTATTTGCAAAGTGGAGGTTAAAAACATTTCTATGAGAGATGGCATCTCCCATCCAAGCAGCAGGTGGTCAGTTCCAAATGGAAATACACCTGACATCAACAGTAATCCCAGCTGCATGGTACTCCAGGTATTTCTCCCTTTATCCTGTTTATTTCATCTGAAGAGCAACATTCGTGGTCTTAGGGCTTTCCACAGAGAAAACTCTCCAGAGAACTGCAGCCTGAACAGAGCAGTGAGGCAATGTGTTTTTCAGAGTTCTTGTCTTACCCTTAATATTTACATATATATTCATCTTTGAAGGAGCTGTTTCATTAATGTTTTATTTACAAGCATGCTGTTAAGGCTCAGAGGATTCAAATGTGAACCTTGAACTGTATGGTCAGTGGCTTTCCCTGCCTGAGGTTGATACAACAGCGTCCCTCCCGTTCCTGTCCAAAACTCCCACTCCAGCCCTCCCAGCCTAGACACCTTTTGCACAAAATTATCTGTATTATCCCAAGCTAAACATTATTTGTGTGCTTGCATTATCTCCAGAGCCTTCAGAGAGCAGTCTGTGTTCTAAAACAGAAAGAAAGTGATCCTTTGTTCCCACAATTGCCTAGCATCCAGGTCCTGGAGCTTAACTCCAGGTCTCCATGTCCTGGGCCAGCACTGAGTTTTCATGTTTCTGCTCAGGGAACAGAAAGCAGTGAGACATCCTCTGACTGGAGTACTATTTTACTGAAACCTGTTTTTTCCCCTGATATTATTCATCATATTCACAGCCTCCTGCCACATGATAGCAACCCAGGCAAGACTGCTCTAGCTATCCATATTTCCTGTATGATGACTGGCATTTCTGCATGACATCTCATCCCTTCTTCCTTCATGAACCTCCTAGGCATCAGTCTGGAATATGGTGTCTGTGTTAGTGCATCCCTCCTTTAGACATACAGCTATGTCTTTCTGTGATTTAGCAGATAATACACTGCTTATGGCTCTTCTCAGCTTCATACTCTCGTTTATCTACTGTTCCCCTCTCTCCCTGCCAAAGTAATTGACCATAATGTTACTTTTCTTATTTATCACACCAGGAATTTCAGGCATAACCCCAAACTTGCCTGATGTAATGTGTTCTGTAATGAAAACTTGACTCTGTCCTAAGGCATACAAGACTACTTCAGATATTTCCTGAAGTTAGAGTCTAATTACTGATTAATAAAAAGTATGTCTGGCTGTTTCCCCTTGCTGCTCATCATGGCTTAATAGTGATGTGGATTTGGGGTTGCTGTACCGCTGAAATCAGGAGGAAGGGAAGAGAAACTGGCTGTGTATTTCCTTTTTACTGTCGAATGAAGAGCATGCCTGTCCACCCCATGAACGTGGTCTCAGTTTCACAATCCAGGGGGATTCCTGCTCCTTGCACTCACACTCTGCAACTCTGTCCAATTTTTCACACCCTGGGTCTGGCTGCATACTTCTGCCTTGTCTTTCACATCCAGCCTGTGCTCTACATTTCTTTTCCTAGTGCTGAAAACTTCAGAGGTGTAAAAGCTGAACCAAGCTGATTACCTCGTAAGTAGGAAAAAGAAGTTTCCCTTTGCCTGCAGGGTGTTTGGTGTCTGATCTCAATACAGGCACTTGGATGCAGTACTGAAAAAGTAGTACAAAAGCAATGCATGTAGGTTGGACTGTTTGCTGGACTCCAGTACTTTGAAGGCTGAAAAGTGGAATGTATGAAGGAAAAGCAACAGAGCTTGCCTGAGCTGGGGTACATCCAGTCAGCCACCTCAGGATCATGAGGGATGGGTCTGTTTGCACCTTTGGAGTGTTAATGTCAAAAAGCTCAGCCAGCCTCACAAACAAAAGCAGCCATAGCACAAAACAGCAATGTGACACCAGCCTATTTTATCCATGTCTTAGGTGAGAGGCGATACAGTAATTACTGTCTCTCTTTGGATATGAGACAACTGGGAGGGAAGAAAAACCATGAACTATGTGGTAGTTTGTTACCCTTCAGGTTTTCAAGCTGGGGGAAGGGAGGTGGTGGTATGATGTGTGTGATATTTTTTATTTTTTTTTCAAAGGAAAAGTGGAAGTCATCTGTTAAAGAAAAGACTGTTCCTTGTTTTGGTAAGGCTTAAGAGCAGCAGAGACAAAGGATTTTGTCACTGGTACAAAGCAGTGCTTTGTTAAAGGAAAGTGCTCAGATGGAGTTGTGTATATCAATTCAAGTTAGCACATAGTAGTTTTTCCCTCTTCAGGGAAATAATTGGGCTGTGGGTAAAGCCACCAGACTTCACAGAGAATAGAAACTGCTCCAGAAGTGTGTTGTGTTGGGTCAAGTGCTGTTCTCATGCTGCAGTGCTCTGACTCTTAGCTTATAAACTAGACAGCAAATTTTATAGTTTATCCCAATAGCAGTCCTGCTACAGAAACAGGAGTTTGTACACCTCTTGTCTTTTGGCTATATATATATGCTTTATGGCCATCCACCCCCAAAGTACTGCTCTCCTTCCCCACCGCCCTCATCCATGGAGGTCTCCTGGAGGAACTTCTTGGTGGTCCCCATTGCCGCTCCACTTGTCTGAAAGAAAAGAAACAGCAGGGAGCTGTAAGAGCAGAGCTGTTTCATGTTTCATGATGGGAGCTGAGGAGGACTGAAGCTGAGGAGGACTCAAGCACAATCCAAACCTTCAGTGATGGTTCATTGTGCCACAGGGGATTAAGCCAGGAGGCAGTGCCCGGGATGAGGTGTGGGGATGAACCTGGTCCAGGGTCCAGCCCAGACCACCAGGAGATACTGGCAGAGACAGGGCTGGCAGCTGAGCTACAACCCAGGTCCAAGATCCAGCCAGGAGACGGACACAAGGCAAGGATGGGGTGCCCAGAGCCAAGCAGGGCTGTGCCTTCCTGGTGGGTCTCATGGAGATCACTGAGGCCTGTGGGGGTCATAAGGACCTCAAGAGCTGTTGCAGATTGGAGCCCAGGACCCCTGGCAGCTCTTATTGAAGGAGGGTAAGTCTTACATACTTAAATACTTCAATTTA